TTCATATTACAATGCTGACATATCTAGAAAAGAACAGATTGATTATTATGATCGCGTAAGAAGACAGAAATCGATGAGCCATTAGTAAAAGCAACGGGATGGATAGGTAGGGGTGCATGATATGTATGGCTCCATTTAACCATCAGTAGGGAAAAGGTTACTTGCATAATGTCGAACAAGAACAAAAAAGGAGAGATGGGAATGTCTTGATGCGATAACATGCTGAATACAGCATGAGCGCTCAACACACACACACACACACACAAACATATAGACATTGTCGATTGCTTTAGGGTTTATTCGTTGCTTCTTCTTTTATCTGCTTTCTTTTTTTCCTTTTCTTCATACACTAAATCATAAGAACTATTACTACTCCATCACAAGCAATAAAACAACGGTTTTTTAATTAGAAAACATGAAAAAGCAAAAAGGAGAAAAAAAGAGAGATGAAGAACGTCCGCGCAAGCGCACATATATCAACAGGGGTAATAACAATAAGCGTTATCGCAAAAATGTACGCGTACACATACGTCAAGACATGCAACATGCTTATGATTGAACTGATGCCGATTGTTGTTGAAGCTTTCTCGCTTGTCAATAAGGCGCACAAACTCATATGAATAGACAAGCGAAAGAAAGAAAACTCGTTGATCAATTGGAAAGTCACGTTCATTTCATCGCAACGATCGAAAGCAATAGTATGTTATGTATTTCTCAAATAAATAATATTTACATGAAGTACACAGAAAGAAAAAAAGAAATGACAATTGACAGATAAAAAAAAAAAACAACAAAGCAAGATATGAGAACAAATTCTATTTATATAAATTATGTTTGTAATTTTTTTTGATGTTTCAATGACGACGACGATGTGAATAAACACGATACCTTGACACAAATAAGCGGAAAGTTATTTTCTTGTTCTTTCAAACACACACACACCGGAATTCATCTGTTTCATTTCATAGCTCATAGATACTGACTTATTGCTTTCATGTTTAGAGAAAAACGATGATGAAGAAAAAGTAGTATAAAGAATAGAAGAAAATTGAAAAGAAAAACGATGAGAGTGCATCATTATAGGTAGAGAGTGTTCGATCAAGCACGAAACTCGTTATTAAGTCGACATCTTCATCACTCACAGATTGATGACTACATAGTTCTATGTATGCATGCATAGGGGGGTTTGTCTAAACTAAAATATGATGGATGGTTGATCATCGTCATAGATTTTTGTTTCGTATAGCAGAATGCCGCTGACTGGTCAGATGATGGATGTACTATAAGTTGCTTTCATGCGTGTTGAGATGAACTCGAGTCGACATACAAAAAAAAGAAGAGGAGGAAATATAAAAAGTCAATTTTATGACGATAGATGATGAGAGGAAAAAATGACGAAATAAACAGACACATCGTCATGCTTGACTAGTGAAATTCAGTAGTCTATATTTCAAAGTCGATAGACAAACTTTTTCATGATAAGCATTACATCATTGTCATATTATGTGTGCAACTTTATAATTAGATGAACATGTACATTTGAAGAGGTGTATGAAGAAGATGAATAAAAAAAAAAATGACAATGACTAACTAGAAAGAAGAGAAAATCTTTACCGTACGTTTGCGTGTGAACAACACCCCGACACGGTCGGTGATAGTAGTGGACGCACCCAGCTTTCTTCTTCTTCTTCTTCTTCTTCTTTCAGTCGATGAACAGCTATGTTGGGTGTGCTTATTTCTTTTTTTCTTTTTTCTCTTCCTCTCTCTCTCTCCCACTGCTTCACGCTCACATCCATATACAATTAGTCGTCGATAATCGTCATCAGAAACGACGGAGATAAGAAGAAAAAAAAAGAAGAACAAGAAGCATAGTAGGAGGATAATAACAACAACCACCATCAAGACCAACCGGAAAAGAATGACTTGTAGCACATGAACATAGAAAAAGAAGACGAAGAAGTAGCAGTGATACTAACTGATAGAATAACCTTTTACATGTAAAGAATAGCAGCTCGTAGCTTTCCCATGATGACCGGCACAAGCATGTGTTTAGCAAATAAATTGAATTTTTGTCAATGAGGGAAAAAACCGAGAGAAACAGAAGGCGGATTATTCAAACCGGAACAAACAGACCTTGGCACGATCAGAAATCATTAGTGAGCAAAGAAAAAAAAAAAAAAGAAGAAATGTTATTTTATTGAATAAAGTTTCTCTTTTCTATTAGTTAAATATAATAGTTGCACTACTGAGTGCTAATAACTAGAATAGTAAAAGCAAATGCATTGTATTTGCGTCACATTATATAGTTTCGCTGATTAGTAGTCTTATTGAAATTGACGTCGATGAGAAGACATCGACCATATATATCTATCTGTCTCTTTCTTTTTTTATTTATATACGTACAATGATGTAACAATGCATCATCTTTCTTTTCTAGTTGTAAAGACTGACACATTTGTTCACTGCACCTGAATGCAGTTCAATATACGTGTTAAGAAATAAAACAAAAAAGAAAAAGATGATTTTCTTTTTTTTTTTAAAGTCACAAAAAACGTAATGGCAGATGACATTTACTTCTCATTTTGATGATTATGGTTTCATCTGTCTCTCGGATTTACGGTCAACTACTTTTCGATTATATTGTCTATTGAGACTCATATGTATTGTTAGAAATTAGAATGTTCATGAGCCGAATTTTGACGTGTGAATGCACGACAAGGAAGAATAAAAAAGAAGAAAGAGATGGCCCAAAGGGGTCAGCTGTTGCTTTTATTGTGAATAGACTGTACGTACACATATATCGAGTATTATTAGGCCATCTACAAACGAAGAGTACGAGAAATAAGAGAGGGTGCTCAAGTGGGTAACTCGAGTGATAGGGGAACGATGATGATGACGATTGTTCTCACCGTCGTTGATCGACGAGCACCACTCTGACGACGATACTTAGTTGGTTGATTAAAAAAAAAAAAGAAGTTCGCATGGCTAATACACATATACAATCAATGAACAGGCATACACCTTATGAACAGAGCGCATCGTCACATGCAATTAGAACGTGAGGAATAGACAGACGGTCATGCATATATATATATATATGAAATAATGAATGAACGATATATATGATCTCAAGGAAAAACAATCAACTCACGACCTTTTCCTAACTATTGAATGAACCATCACTCAAGTGAATTGATTATCTTTTAGTAAAGATATATGAGAACATCATTCATTCAATATTCATTTTGTAAACAAATGAACATCGCTTAAAATTTATTCTACCTTATCAGCAATTATATATATATATACATATAATATAAGGAGTCTATTGATAAAGAGAGTACAAGATTACTCTTTCTGCTATTCAGATTTTACTTTCACATATTCATCCTCTAAGGATAGACATTATTTTCATTACCTTAATAGAATAGATTTGATTGTTACTAACATGTAGTTATATCTGAATTATAAAAAAAAAGCGAAAGAAATTTTCTATGGTTCACTGACATATTCACACAATAAGTGTCTTACTATCAGTTATTGGAAATTTCTAAAGTTGAGCTTTACTGCTGTGTACAATTAGAAAAAAAACAGACAATCTCATTCGGCTTTAACAGACGACAGACAGAGGATTAATATACAGTATACGTCGTCCATGCATGTGATCAGGGACGGATTATATTTGGACATTGGTTGATTAGTTATTACTGCTGCTAGGTATAGATATGAACTCTATTGTCAAAGTCTAGAATGGTACCTTTTTTTTATTTTTATTTTCATTCATAGTCAGAAAATGGATGCTATTGTCATTTATTTGGAAGCCAGAGGCAATGACTATAGAGTAAAGAGAGTTATAATCATTAGAGTAACGAGCAAGCATCATCAGACATCTGTACAAATGCCTTTCGTTCATTCCACAATTGAACAACTAACTCATGTGTTTGTCTTTGAAACACACGCGCGTCCTCTTCCGTTCATATATGTATGAATATATCTATTTGCCCCCTCTTGTGCGACTCTTCCTTTCAGCCATCATCGCTCATTGTTAACGAGTACACATTTACATGAGGTCGTCCAACTAACTAACTAACTAACGAAAAGCTAATTAACTCGATCAGTCAAAGAATCAAGGCTTTTTATCTACGTATATGTCAATGCCCTTTGCATCGAAGTATGAGATGATGACAAATTTTATTCATCATCGTACATGTACACATACATAGCATTTGTAAAGTTTCCTGCCTTCTTCAACTCTTAACACGAACAATTGAATTTGACTATTGAAATAATGCAAACATTGTGATTTTGAAGAAGATCAACAAAATCGTACGAGAACACTTACTCATATAGTCTTAACATTGAGTAGCTTCCATCTATCGTTCTTGGTTTCGAGTTTTTTTTTTCTTTCACTTCAAAATCTATTGTTCATTCACTATGCAGACATCCGTCATCAGTTCGAACACATATGCATCAGAGAAAGAGAAAATATATGATCAAATTTCTTTCCTCTCTTTTGCTTTTTTTTTTTATGCTTAGACACAGAGAGGTCATCCAACATATATCTCTTCTTCCGGAGTTACGATGTGAGAACGAGCAATGAACAAGTTGGCGACAACATCTGTTCAATGAGAAAGAAAACATAACAGCCATATAACTGGCTATCGGTGCTTTTTTGTGGCAGCATATAAATTTATTTAACGAATACAACACAATCACATAGACATAATATAAGCATGAATACTTGATTAATAATAAATATGTACGGGTGCAATTATATCACAGAAGGAAAGACGAGAGAAACAGTGATTTGATATAAAAAATAATCGAAAAATAATGAAACACCATCTGTCAACTATGTTGAATACATTAGATTTTCGTTCTTTAGAAAAATTTAGATAATAATATAAGTCACGTTTTTCTAATGCTGCATTAAGTTTATTTAATAAATGGTTAATTGTCAATGTTACATTTGAGTCATCTGATTCTACAGTTGTTCATGTTTAGACTGTTGTAGTTTCAGTTATTGCAGTTATTGTTGAACTTGTCCAATATATTGCACCTTAATATCAACGAGAAGAAAAATTTTATTTCGAAAAAAAGAAATGTACGAAATTAATAGATAATTACATGGATCAGATGAATGTGTAACATGAAAATCGATTGACATTGAACCAGTATTATCCATAGACAAGTCGTTGCTCATAGAGGAAGTAGATATTGGATCTTAATATATTAGAGAATCGAATTAGATGTATATTTACTTAAGATAGAGAATCATAATCCTACTTCCAGTACTTGGATTAAAAGAATAAGTTGATGAATATGGTAAATTCATCATTGTACCTATTATATATATATATATACATAGAAATTTTATGTACATTTCATAATTGTTAATGTCATTTACTTTGACAAGGATCACTGATTGTAATTGCAGTTGTTGAAAGAGTTTCGGATTGTACACTCATTGATGATATTATTGAAGCTATAAAATACAAAATTAAAAACAATGTTGAATGTACCTACAGTGACATTAAGTTGGAAATGAAAACTGTCAAATATTTCTTGCATAAAAAAGACTACTAGACATACGAGATTTTATCTTTTGATATTCTGTATTCGAACATAAGAATCAGATTAACTAAACCAAAGAAGTAGATTACAATAATTTATTTTTTTATTTTGGAAACATGATTGATTCTTCTGGAATGATTACAGCTTAATGTATTACAAGATAGTAAATCCCATATGTAAACAACTTACTCAAATAGTATCCGCTATCATGAAACTTCAAAAATAAAAATGATCACAACTCATTTCCTGATATTGTCCATAACACACAACAACAAAAAAATGAAACTTTGATGTGTAAATTTTTATCGATTGCGAAATATACTATTAGCTTTTTTCCAGAATTATAACGTCTGTCTAACTTTATTTTTAACTAGATATTTATGCTGATCCGAAATTCTCTCATGATTCTGAAAGCTAATACTGTATACCTGACGTTGTCAACACAGATCTACTGGAAACAAAAGAATTTGAATTTAGGGTTTCGTCTGTATTCATGACGGTCTGAATGCTTGAACCATGATTATCAGTGAATGTTGCACTATCTAAAAAAATATACTCTATTTTATAGAATTTTTCTAATAACATTGCTAATATTTGTCGACGAACTTGATATTGTAGTGGATGACATCGATACAGTTCCAGTTATTGTTGTGTCATAAAATGTCATAGCACTATTTGTGCCAATGGATGGAGTTGCAGTAGTGATTGTACTGGCCATTGTTGCTACGCCATTGGATCCTGTTGTAGTAGAAATTGCAGAGCTCATCGTTATTGTGGCGTTTAATGTTGTATCCATAGTTACAGCCCCCATTGTAGCTGTGTCATTAGACATTGAAATAGTAGCTGCAATGGGCGTTGCTGTTGTGCCATCTGACATTGCAGTGGCAGTTGTAATGACTGGCGTTCCAGTATCATTTAATCCTGTAGTAATGATTGTAGTAGTCATTATTATTGTAGCGTTTAATGTTGTAGTCATAGTTACAGTGCCTGTTGCAGCTGTATCATTAGACACTGCAATAGTTGCTGTGTCATTTGACATCGCATTGGTAGTTGCAGTGATCGGTGTTCCGGTATTATTTGACCCTGTCGTAGTAATTGTAGTGGTCGTTGTTGTTGTAGTAACCGTGGTAGTAGTAGTAGTTGATGATACGGTAGTATCGGTGGCACTTGTCCTGGTGTATACAGGAATAAGTCCTAAGACAATCGCTACTGTTGCAAAGCCACCGAAAGCAGCAGCTGCTAGTAATATCGTTTTTAATGCAACCATGAAAACTTAGTATTGAAATTCGTTGGAAGAAAATAATATATGATAAAGCTTGTTGGTAAATTAAATATAAAAAGTTGAAAGAGGTTGTGTTCGTTATTTCTTTTTGTTATGCGTTAAAGCATCATTGTCTGCTTTCGGTGTATCTCTTTTTCTCGTCGTTTGAAGGTATTCTTACCTAAAAGATATATACTGTCTTTTGCTTCTCGTCTCTCTGGATACGCCTACAAGACTAGAAAATAAGATATTTTTCTATAGAAAAAAATTCTCTTCGAAATGATAATTTTTTCCGTTAATAACTTTTTTTTTTTCTTTTTTCTTATTCATCATTTGAGGATGACTTTTTCTGTAGAACAGCTAGTCGGATATGTTTCCGTGATGTTGAAACATAATGAAAGCTAAGAGAAAAGAACAGCTTTCCCATAGAAGTAGAGAAAACAAGAAGAAAACTAATAAGAGAAGATATAAGAGAATGAGAGGTATTTTTTTAAAAATCTTCTTTATATATTATTTGTCACTTTATCAATTAGTCATTTTTTGCTCTTGATTCTTTGCAATTGTTCTACATTTGATTGACATCAATCTTAAACTTAAGAAAGCATAGTCTGTAAACATGCTTGTGTTTGAAAATAGATCAAAAGTTAAAGAGGAAAAAACTGAATAATTTGTGTAAATATCTTCTCAACATTACATTGTGAAATGTAGACAAAATGATGCAATGTTCTCATTTTGTAGAAATAACAAAATATTTACTAATTATGAAATATGACAAGCAGTTGAATAATTCTCAAAAGAGAATCCGTAATCCAATCTATCTACTTTTTATATTTAATAGAATTTGATGTTGTTGAAGTCGTGCGCAACAAAAATAAGAACATGATTGGATTAATATTTTTCATAAAATATTTTATATTTCCTTCAGCTTATATTGTCACTTATTAGATACCATTTAGAAACAGAGAAATACTACTATAATAGAAAAAAATCTGTTTTCTTTTCGATAAAATCTTCACTTGATATATGATGAATTCAATATCACATTTTCTAATTATTGTTTGTATAAAATAATTTTTGCAGTGAAATTAATAACTTTTTGCTTTTTTTCTTCAGTGTTCAATATTTGACGCTATGACATATTTTAATCAAATAAAAGAGCAATTTTCTAAGTATGAAAACTAAAAGCAAATTAACAAATGTCTTGCGTTTATATCGATGAAGTCTTTTGCCTACTTAATCTTTATTGATATACTACTATGATAAATAATTACATTTCATTGTAGTGTGTAGTAATATAAAATATAAAATGATTAAAATAATTCTTCCACTAACATATGAACAATCATGCCTAGATTTAACTGAGTTTTATAAGTAGCTATTTAATATAAAAATATTGTTTCGATCGTAACAATCAATTTTACTTTTAGGACAAATAGTTATTTACAGAACATGTACTTGATAAATTGGAAAAAGAACTGAAGATTTCTTTTTTTTTAATACTATTAATGAATTATGAAAGTATGATTTAGCCATATGTTTCTCTTCATCAAAAATAAAATCATATGTGATGCATATATGCGTTTTTTCAATTTCTTTCTTCTTCTGTTGACACATTTTAAGATTGCTTTTCTTTCACTTATGGCTTTTTTCTATTTTCAAGTATATGACAGTTAAATATTTTTCTATAAAATTTTATAACTTAATTGATACTTGTTCATCCTAAACAAATGTATTTATGTGACGAACATTGAATTATTTCAAAATATTTTCTGTATATTTTCTTTTTGTATTGCTGTCATTAACATTGATTTGAATAATAAAATCGAACTTTTTTCTACAAATAAAATTTAATGACATCATTGTCTGTTTTTGTTTCTTTGTCTTTTGTCATTACTTTTTGTTTCAATTGTTAGCACATGAAACATTCTCGATAGTAAAAATGAAGAAAACATACTTTTTCTTTTTGGATTTTTCCTTTTTGTTTCCTCTCATAACCAACCGTAAAATGTGATCTTAAAAACAAAAAGAAGGTGTAAATTTTGTTTCCTATTGTATATCGTTTTTATAGGATTTTTCCAATCTTTACATGTCAATGTTTCTTTTTATGGCCACCGTAGATCAGTATCGTATTTATTCTTCAAAAGCTATTGTCTACACTACAAAAAAAGCTATATAAAAAAAAATCTACGACAGATGTATTTAATCACGGATGTTATGACCAAGAACAATTTCAATGATGAAAATGACAGTCGTCATTTAAACAATCGTTTAGAACATTCAATGTTTCAAGAATACCGTTCTAGTAGTACGTAAAAGTTGTATTCATCCTTGTCTGATAATTTCTTGTATTCAAATGACTGACAATATATAAATTAGTTTAATGTGCGTTTTGAAAATTCTCCGTAAAAAAGAATAGATGATAATTAAAACTTCCGGAATGACATTGAAAAATGTCTGTCGACACTACTTTTTTTTCTTCCTATAAATGAATAAAAGCAGAACAGATAAAAATAAACTATCGTAACGTTGACAACTATTTTGTTACCTTTTTAATTATTTTATCATAATAGAAATTGTTATATTTCGTCGATGAATTTAAATTAAAGAAAAGAAGATGTTTATTAAGAATTCTAATGTACTAAATATTTTACTTGTTTATTAATAATTAATAAAATAATAATAATAATAATATCTTGATTTTTTTTAGGAACAGACGACAATAAATTAATAGATAATATTTATTTGTATATTGGTGTTGTTGTTGTTTTTCTAATTATTCTTTTTGGTATTATAATGATGATTAAAAAATGCATAAAACATTGTCAGAGTAGAGAACAACCAGAACAAAGTATATTTTAAATTACTTTACCTTTTGTTTGATGAATTAATGTTCATTTATTTATTTATTAGATACACAATCAAATGCATCATTAACAGGATTATTAATTACACAAAAGCATTCTTCAGTTTGACATTTATTAGTTTCGAATCATTGATGAAGTCTTAATATTCAATTTTAAATAGAATCTCGAGAAAAACATGTACTACAATCGCATCTGATTCTACTACCTAGTCAAAGAACTTGATTTCGTTTTGTTTTTTTTCTTTTACTTAATAATTTAAACTTGAATTAGTTTTATACAAAAAAAAATCAGCTAATAGACATGTATTTCAATGATAATTATTGCTCATATATAAGCATCAATCTTTATTAATATCAATCAAAACCAGTCATTAATGAATTACACAGATTTAATAAATATATCTATAAACATGAAGGTTATAAGTTAATAGATCTTCCATATGACGCTCTTTTTTCACTTTGAAAATTTACATTATATACAAAGTGGATCATAAATAACTATAAGATAAAAATAGGACTCTCTTGATTGCAGTTTGATCGGACGAACAGATTTCTTTTTGATTTGTAACACAGACTTATTTACACTTTTATATTAATATGAATAACATAAACAAGTAATTCTGTAAATTATCATTATGGACGCCATTAACGAAATGTTCACTATTGTCAAGTACAGACCTCACAGCGGTACTGATTTCCTAATTTTTTCCTGACTTTTTAGATTTGTCCTGATTTTCTTGCTTTCGACTGAAAATCATGATAGTGTCCTGTTATTTCGTGATGAATTATCATAGGATTATATCATAATGATTATGATACGTTCTATATTATATTTAATATATTGTCAAGGTTTTTTATTAAAGCAATTATAAAATATTTTTCATCAAAAAACCAAGATATAATGTTTGTACAATAATTTATGAGACAAAAGTAATGGCAAAAAATGTAGATCCTTATATTTCGTCATAGATACGACTCTGAAAAGCAATTTTTTTTAATTTGATAGATGATATTCTTCTCTTTCGAACTATATATGAATTATTTTTATTGGACACTCATAAACAGAACAGCATGAGACAAAGTAGAGATACCCTAAAAATAGTTCTGCATTTTTTGTACATTTCACAATAGTGATGCAAAATGTCGTATGCGATATCATCTTGTTATACACGTGGTAGAACTATAATTTTTTTATCAGCTGATAGGATGTTTTCTTTTCTTTCGAACTGGATATAATTTGTTTTTTTTTGTCACGCATTCATTACTTAAATGACACGAAGGAAAGAAGACATGTCTGCAAAAGAAATTTTTGATCTTTTCATTGATTTATCGGAGAAATCCTGTTAATCAACTAAAATACTAATTGAAATAGTTCTGGTTTTATTGACATGAAAACTGTATGAGAATAATTGAAAAACTTAAATTTTAAATGTANTTCCATCAATCGAATTAGATAAAGCTCTGAGATACCTATTCCAGTATATAGAACAACGATCTTCCAAGGATCTTTCATCAAGAGTATATGAAAAAAAAAGTTTCATTCCATTCAAGGCAACATAGAGTACGACGAAGAGAGGAGTAATAAAACCTAGAGAGGTCCTCCTGTTGTTTTCGAGTAAACAGTGGATATACAGGATATAACCAGGTGAATAATGGCAGAACATATGAATAGAACAGAGCTTTACGAAGACTAGGAGACGAACATCCAAACAATTTAAACGATTTAATAAGTGCTATTCTCTTCCTAACTTTACATTCTGTATCTTTTAATATGTAGCATTCTGTTACGATGTGACTCTAAGGATTAACTGGTTAGACGTTGCGCGAAACAAATGAATTCGTTTTTCGCATAAATCTAATATTTTCAACTACTTTTTATGTGCAATAAGTGACGTATATTAATCACTCATAACATAATCATACATTAATTTAAGCCAAACAATGCCGAAATAAAGTCAAACTTTAGATGTATGATCCGTCTTGTTTTGTTTCGAGAGGCTAAAATGAATATCTTTGTTATTTTATATTTCTCTTTGATGACATCTTTCCAGTTGCAGCTGAGTTGTTTATTATTTGCTTGATTGAACATTTTTTTAAAATTTAATATTAAAATAGTTTCGTTGTCTTTCATTTCGCTTCTCGT